TATATGGGCTTTTTATTGCTCAGAATGCAGGAATCAAAAATCAAAAAACCCCGAACCCCCTAGATTGGCTTTGCGCCTACGGCGCTTGCACTGGATGCGCCCGGCACTAAAAAATCCTGGGCAGAACCCTGTATTGGGATACGACACTGGGAGGCTGCATGACTATAGAGGGTGCTGCCAGCTAAGGCTAACTCTTGGCTTCACGTATGAACACTCTCGGTTAGAGCGAACGCTGTCAAGGCTGATCGCAACCAATGTTAACGTTATTCTACTACTGCCTACACGTTACGACTAACGCTAGGGATAGGGTTGGGCTTATGGTCAGGGTTAGGATAAGGGTTAGGGTCAGTGGCAGGGTAAGGGGTAGGGTCAGGGTCAGGGTTAAAGTTAGGGTTAGTGGTAGGGTCAGTGGTAGGGTCAGGGTTAGCATTTAAGGTTGGGATTAGGGTTAGGATTAGGATTAAGGTTAGGGTTAGGTTTCGGGCTAGGATTAGGGTTTAGGGTTAGAGGTAAACAGAGGTTAAATTTCAAATAACACCAACGTTAGCTCTAGTCACGGAATTGTATACTCGACCCACATCCTCTCATGTGACGACCCCATTTACGACGATCACAATAAGTGAACAGTCTTTGATAGGTGTAAACCAATACCCCCAAAAGCACGTGTTAGCCATTACCATGTCAGTGCATGCATTAACAACTAGTCATTACACAATCATGCAGTACACGTGCACGGAAGCCCACAGATCACATAATGACTGCTCTCTCTCTCTGTGAGATCACCCGCATCACCACCACATCCAGCAGTAGGCGGTAGTTGTAGATAATAATCATTAGACGATAATTGCATTGTTCTTTAATCTAATTAGCCACAGAGTGTGACAGCCAGCATTGCCGCCACGCTGTAACTTCACCCTGCTTACAATGTCCAGGCTGTGTAGTGCTCTATGCAGCCGGCTGAAAGGTGCGATAGGATATGTTTACTAGGCACTTCTAATTTTAACATATATTTTAAATTTAATTAGGGTCAGGGTTGGGTTAGGGTTAGGGTTAGGGCACTTTTTAGGGTTTTTGCATCATTCTTTAATATATCGTAAAATATGTTAAAATTAGAAGTGCCTAGTAAACATATCCTATCGCACCTTTCAGCCGGCTGCGTGCTCTATATCGTAACGTCTCTGTTTTAGAGTGCTTAGATTTTCGGAAAATACGAATCACGCGATAGTGTTCTAAGGTTGGTTACCAAACAACATACGCAAACAGAGCGAGACTTGTGCGTTTACTTGCACTGTACTACATGCGACGCACTGTAGTCGGGTTGCTTAGCTATAGGACGTAATGAGAAGTAAATAATTAAAGAGACTACAAACAGACGACTAGCGGTAGACTAGTGCAGAACTC